CTTTCTGCTTGTTGAACTTTCATTTAGTGTAGCATTCAGCTTTTATAACGCAAATTGAAAAAAAAAGGCTATCACAAAAATTAGGAAAGGGTAAGAGGAGGGAGGGAGGGAGAGTGGAAAGGAAGCTTCATTATATTCTTAGAATTCTATGAACTTAGAGTTCTATTGAGTCTGGTTGTATTCATATCACATTAGCATGAGACTAGCTGAGAATTGTGGTACAGTAACAAGATCATTCACTCCTGTGACACTGAGAACAAAATGCATTAATAAATTCATCAGTAAAATACACATAATACATTCCTACATGCTGAATATCTTTTCTTTCCAAAATGAGCAGTCAGAGTCCTTAATCTCCACATAAGAAAAATCTGTCTCCAAGGCTTCTAACACCTCCCTTCCCCTGCCTTCTAAATGCACAAACATAGTAACTCCCTTTTGGCAGGGCCTGGGTCTCTATATCCTTTCTTACCTGCAATAGCATTTGTCAGCATAATGCATATATCACTGTGAGGACAGTGAGGGGACATAAAGTGTACCCCTGGTTTTTAATTCCCCATCAGGTGCTACCACTGCTTGCAATTTACTATCAGTGCATAGCTTTGTTTATGAATATAGCTCTATCAAATTCACTCACACACTCATTGTCTTTGTAAATAACTGTTGAATCCTCTATTGACACCTCTATGAAAATCAGTGTCCCTTGCCCCGAGCTAGCTCTCCCATAGGAGAAGGGCCACAGGTCACAGGAAATACAGTCAGTCCTGGATTAATCAGTTGCATCCCAACAAGGTCATCAGCAGCACTACAGTGGAGGCAGGCACAGGACCAAACAGAGTCAGCTGGAGGACCAGGCAGAGTCACCTGGAGCAGTGATTCATACTGCATGCTCCTAGAACCAGCAGGATCAGGCCTATGGAATCAGAAGCCATGATGGTGGCGCTGAGTAGTCCATGTTTCACAGGACTCCAGAGTGTGGTGCACTCTCAGAATTAGAAGGTCTAAGATTTTTCCCAGCTTTCAAAATTTCTACTGATGCTGGTGATGCTGGAATCCCATAGCAGAGCACCAGTTCAGTCCCAGCTGCTCCACTTCTGATCAACTCTCCACTAATGCACCTGGGAAAGCAATGGAAGTGTGCTTGGGGCCCTGGCACCCTTGTGGGAGTCCTGGATGGAGAGAAAGAGAGAGAGAAAGAAAGGAAGAGAGAGAGAGAGAGAGAGAGAGAGAGAGAGAGAGAGAGGAAGGAAGGAAGGAAGGAAGAGAGAGAAAGAAAGAGAGAAAGAAAGAGAGAAATAGAGAGAGAAAGGAAGAAAGAGAGAAAGAGAGAGAAAGGAAGAAAGAAGAAAGGAAGAAGGAACGAAGGAAGGAAGGAAGAGTGAATCTGCTTGCTCACTTCCCACACCCCTAGAACATCCGGGGCTGTGCTAGGTTGAGACAGGAACTCCATCTAAGTTTCCCATGGGAGTGGCAGGAACCCAAGAACCTGAGCCAACCACCTGCTGCCTCCCTGGGGGTTTGTATTAGCAAGAAGCCTGAACTGGAAATGGAGTCGGGGCCCTAATTCAGGCACTCTGAAGAGGCTCGTAGGCACCCCAAGTCGTACGCCAGATGCTCCCACACCTGTGAGGATCCTTTAGCAAGGTGATATTTACTGTGTTTGAAGAGCACCAACTGGTAGTCATAAAGTATACACAACACTGATTTCATGCTAAGTAAAACAAATCAAAGTGCTGAAGTTGTCTTTGACACTGGAGCAATAGTAAACTGGATTTAAAATCTGTATTTAAAAAAAATGTCATGGGACTGGCACCGTAGGATACTACATTAAATTTCTGTTTATGGTACCGGCATCCTCTATGGGCCTCGGTCCAAGTACCGACCGCTGCAGTTCAATCCAGCGCCCTGTAATGTGCCTCGGAAAGCAGTGGAAGATGGCCTGAATCGTGCAGCCTCTGCATCCATGTGAAAGACCTGGCTGAAGCTCCAGATTCAATCTCTTTCTCTCTCTTTCTCTCTCTCTCTCCTTCATTCTCTCTGCCTTTCAAAAAAATAAATCATAACAATTTCATGTACCTTCCAGTCTTCTAAAAGACATGATGGTATAGTGAACCTGTGTGTGACCATTACCCTGTCAATCTGATTTTCACTGCGCATTCACTAACCCTCCACGCTGGGTGGACTGCTTCCTTCTCCCCTTCCTCTCTCATCCTAATGCACAAAAACAAACCAGTGCGCCCAGCAGTATCTACAGGGAAACCTCCCCAACCCAGGTGCTCTGAATTTTCTAACACCCACAGTACCCTAAAATGCCTTTCTATTACAGAAATAGTCTGCTCCATGACAATTCAGTGAGTTGGGTTTAAGAAGATGACCTATTATGCCCTGATTTGTGCAGGTCACTGCTTCCTTGAATGTTAACCTTGCAAATAGGATTCCTTATAAGGATACTACACAAGGTTAATGGAAAATAGAATTATGCCTTTAGGAGTGGACATTGTGGGACAGCGGGTTAAGCCACTCACTGGTTAAAACTCCCATATCCCATATGGAAGTTCTGGTTTTAATCCTGGCTACTCCCTGCTGGGCTCCCTGCTAAAGCTCCCTGGGAGACGAAAGATGATGACCCAAGTAGTTGGGTGCCTGGCACCCATATGGGAGATTCAGTTGGAATTCCTGATTCCCAGCTTCAGCCTGACCCAGCCCTGGCTAATGCAGGAATTTGGAGATAGATGGATACATGAATGGGTGGATGATGTATACATAGATAGATATAAAGATGTTTCCTCTCTCTGTCACTGAGCCTAACAGAGGCAGAGACAGACAGAAAGGAGAGAAGGACAAAGAGATCTGCTGAGTTACTTCCCCAAAATGCCCACAACGGCCAGGCAGGACTGGGCCAGACTAAAGCCAAGAGCCAAGAACTCCATAGGGGTCCCCCACACGGGAGGCAGGGGTCCAGGTACTTAGGCCATGCTCCCCTGCTTTCCCAGGTACATCAGCAGGTAGCAGGATTGGAAGCAGAGCAGCCAGGACTTCACCCAGTGCTTACATGATAATCAGGCTTCACAGGTAGCTTAACCTGCTGCACCACAATGCTGACCCTATAAATACACAGATTTTTTTAAAACACAGTTCTGACTGCGTGTATTATCCGAACGGGAAGGTACTCAAGGAATAAAGGGGTTGTGGTTTTATGTGGCAGCCCCTGATGGCTCACTGAGAATACAGCATGCAGTAGACAGGTGCAGGAGGCCAGGGAGAAGATGCCTGCAGACCTGGGCACTGAGACGGGGCACAGCAGCACTCCAGGTGTGCCAGGGTGTGCAACAGCCCTCAGCCAGTGGCAAGGAAGCTGGACCAGCATGGATGAGTGCATGGGAAAGGCAGCAGCGGCTGAGACAGGGATGCCACAGGACCGAGCAGCCGGGAAACCCGGGAAGAAGGCTCTGAGAGGTCCTGTCTGGCCTTTGGCTTTTATTCAGAGGGAGACTGGGAGCCACTGCAGAGTCGGAAAAGAATAGCCCCATGGTCTGTGAACACAAAGTACATGTATGGGTTCAGGTAACTGGATTCAGGTCCTAGCTTTAATCCAGATTCCAGCTTTCTGCCAGTGTCTACGCCAGGAAGCAGCAGCAATGTTCAAGCTGCTGGGTCCCTGCAACCCACGTGGGTGACCTGGGCCCAGCCCTGGCCACTGCAGACACGTGAGGAGTGTGAACTACTGAATGGGAGCTCCCTTGCTCTCCGCCTCTCAAACTGCATACACAAAAACAGAAACCCATGATGGCTTTAACAAGGAGTTTTATTTCCTGTCTTCCCCCCTAGATATCTATGGTAGGTGCCGTAAATGTCATGTGCAGCAGCGTCACCTCCAGCACTCAGCACATCACACTGAAGGTGTCCAATAAAAGATCGCAAGTAAGCCAAGAAACCACCGTGAAGTTTTTACTGTTCTGCAGATGGCGCCTCCTGTTACTCAGACACTAAGAGTCTAGCAGAGTGACTGGCATGGCGTGGGAACTTGCTGGAGTAAACAAAAGACTGACTTTTGCGAAGTCATTGAAAAATCTGTATTTACAACACAGCCTCTCATCATTTCTTTTACTTAGGAAAGGGGCTCTCGTTGCCTTTTTGGATTTTATATGAAACTCTCACCTTAGACTCCTGAGGATGGGAGAGCAACTGCTTTGTGACTCAGAGCTTACAACCCACTGCCGCATCCTGCCACGCAGCATTCATTAATCGCTGAAATGCTAGTAAAATCTACTGGGATAAATAGTCACATGACCTGTGAGAGGCCTTTTATAAGGCTACCAACCGGCTGGATTTTGAATTTTACATCGGAAAACAGGACGCAAGCATGTGGACAGACTTCAACAGAACCACTTTCTCTTGGCCTTGACCTCCCAGCCAGGTGAACCACATAACCCTGACCGAGGATTACACCTGTTCCTGCTGTCCCCAGAGGGCGCGGAATGGGAGGGAGGGAGGGAGAGGGCCGAGTCGGTCCTGCAAGTATTTCAGAAGAAGTCCTGGGAGTCAGTCCCCCAACACACACACACACACCCCTCTTCGGAAAGACTGGCGGAATCACGCCTTACAAAGTCAACAAGCCCGGGCCGGGCATCCCCTGGAGGGAGAGTGGCTGCTGTCCCCACTGCAGGTGCCACTGACGCGCGTCACCAATCCCCAGCACAGCCACACACAGAACAGCGCAATCAGGTCCTTGGGGTTGGGACCACTTGCAGAAAAGCAGACGAAAGTGGCTTCCATTTCAACTTCAAGAAAGAAAAAGAGGGCAATACCACGAGCAGGAGCGTCCGATCTGCTGATGCCAGGACACAAACTGCACCCGAACTGGCATCTGCTTTGGAGGCTTCCGTGCCACAAGACAGGGAGTAAACAACAACTTTGGGAAAGCCGAGGCGTCCACAAAGGCCGGTGTTCCTCAGCGCGCTGCTCCGCCTCCTCCAAATAAGGCGGCCAATGCAGCGCGGATGGCAAACACAACACAAGCAAAACAACCCGCCAGGCGGACAAGGTGCCAGCGTCAGACCCCTGAAGGCAAACGCGAGACAACAAAGACCCCGAGCCTGCCGCACGGGTGGTGGACACCCCCTCGCCCCGGCCGTCCGAGCTCCGCCCGCAGCCGCACCCCCGCGCCCTCGGTGGCCCCCGCCGCGTCGCGCCGCCCACGATCATCCGGCAATCTCGGCTCACCGAGTCCCTTCTCACGCTGCGTTCAAAATCTTTCCCGCCCAGGCGTGACGCCGAGAAAGGCTAACAATCAAGAGCGTCCGGGGCCTGGGCCCTCACGGGGAGGGCAGCCGGAGCAGCCCCGGCCGAGGGATCCCCCTGCATCCCCACCCTCCACACACACACATACACACACACCGGGGGCGCAGCCCCCTGCCCGAGCCGGGTGGACCTGCGCGCTGGGGCCCGGAGGTGACACAAAGAAGCCGGAGAGCCCAACGCCACCCGCTGGCTCCCGCTCCCAGCCCGGGAGCGACCCGCCCGCTGACAAGTTGGCGGCGCCCTCCACGCACCCCGCTCTCCCCACCCGCGCGCAAAGTTTCCGGTGGCTAGCCAGGGCCCCGGGCAGCACGTCCACCGCGTCTCTGGCACCCCAGTTCCGCCCCCGGCTCGGGGATCTTCCCCTCCCTCACGCTCCCTCCAGGGCGCACTTGGGGTGCTGCGGGACTCCCCGGCCTCGAGCGCTCACCCGCCGTCCGCCGGGCCGAGGTGGGAAGGGCGCGGGGTAGGCACCCCTGCTCGCCCTTCTCGCTCGCTAGCTCGCTCTCGCCTCGGTGCGCGTCCTCCTCCTAGCTCTCTCGGTGCAGCGCTCCGGGCGGGTGCAGCGCAGCGCGCTCAGCTCTTTGGCGCTCCGAGGGCTGCAAACCACGCCCCGCGCCTCCCCGCGCGCCGCCCGCCGCCCTCCGCCCAGTCCCGCGCTCGCCGCTCGGTGGCCAGTGTGGAACGCGCCCGCCAGCGCCGGGGCGGAGCGGCCCGCCTCCCCGCACGCCCCGCCGCGGCCCCGGGATTGCAACTTTCTTTCCGGGTTTGGGAACATCAGCGCAGGTGGTGGCGGGGAAAAGTCGGTCTAATCGAGCTGGGACCGGAAGGGACCGCAACTCTCGCAAAAGCTTGCCCGGCCTCTGGCAGCGAGGGATTTGTACCCCCGGGCGTGGATTCTGGGGGCTTGGGTAGTAGGTGGGGGAAAGAGCAGACCTGGGATTTGGCCACCAGCTCTCCCTCGGCTCCCGGCACCCGGCTGGGAACTCTCTAGGCGGTGAGGAATGCCTATTGGATGGCCGTTAGAATGCCAGTGCGCGTCTCTCAGGGTGCTGTCCAGACTTCGGGGCCACATGCCAAGACGGAGGCGCCGGTTAACCGTGACCGTCACCGGGCCCTTCCCTCCCCCGGATGAGGGGCGGGACCTGCCTAGACCCCGGGACGCGAATCCCCCCCGCCCCAAGTCTTGGATCTCTGCGAATCGGTCCTGCAGGGGCAGTTTGATTTCTCAGCAAGTGACAAGGTCCCTGTGGACTCATTTGTGGCTTAGCTCCTGCGTCTGCTACGGCTTCCCTAAAGCACTTGAAGTCCTACGTGAACGGCCCATCCTTACTGTCACTTACACAAAGCAGCAGGGGCTGGAAAGTATTTCTGCGTTACCGTCGCGATCAAATTTAGCTTCCTCTAAGTCCAAAATCGTAGATTCTGGGTGACTAGCGACTCTGGCCTTATTGAGAGCAACTCCCAACTAAATGCCGAGAGCCAGGAATAGAGGTTTCACAATGCATCACCAATCAAGATGTTAGCTGTAAATTGTACCAGTAGAGATATATTTGAAAATGTGTGCTTCAGTAAATACCGGAATGATTGCAGTGAATTGTTTCAAATGTGCATTTTTTTTTTTTTTTGTGATGCAGAGCCCAACCCTTCACCAGCTAGGTGCCATTCCTCGTGTGCCGAGGTTAGCTATCTTCCTGGTAGTATCAATTTTCCTTCTCCAGTGGCCAAGGCTCGCATCTATTATAAATAATGAGTTGCAAAAATCTACAAAACAAGAAGAGCCTCTGAGTCTGCAGCATCTTTTGCTGAACCACTTTGCCTGATGGGACACATGCCAGCCTGAGAGCCAAGTTCAGGAGCAACAGGGCCATGAGGGTTCGTGGCTTTGTCTACCAAGCCTTGTCTGCCTTGTCTCCTGTTTTCCTTCTCTCTTGTTCTGTTCATTTCTATCACAGCCACAAAGTTACTCAGTAAGTTCCTGGTGGTTCCTTCTCCGCATCTGTGCTACCAGCTCACCAGGCTTTCTCCACCAGCTGTGCAAAGTGTACTCAAAAGAGTGCAGGTCGAGGCTCCACGGGCTCGCGGGCGACTCCAGTTAGAGCCTCCTAATTACTGCGCTCGCTTCTTATCATGCCAGTTTAAACATTAAACTCACACTTTTATAAATCAAGTTGGGCCAATCACAAGAACAGTAAAACATTCTTCACGGGGTGAGGTGAAAATAAAATGCACAGCTGAACAGAACACGCCCAGTGGGGTGAAAATGCAACAGCCCTGGGCTCGCCAAAGGATGGTTGTTAGTCTAATACGGTTCTCACTGGAAAAAAGGAGGAGCCAAGGTGAGCCTGGTCACGCCTACATTCTCCCCTGCAACAAAGCTCAGACAAAACACAACAGCAGCGTGAGGTGGTGAATGGCCCTTAGCTTTGAGGTACATCAGGCCTCTGTATTACAGCAAATGATCCACTGGGCCCAAAGCTCCCATTGTAAACAGAAGATTGGTAAGTGGGTCGAACATAAAACACATCTGCAACTCAGTATGGGTGCCATGGGACATCTGTCAGAATCACCACACATATTTACAGGCTATACTGAGAGAGCCAACAGATGTTGACCAAAAGCATGGTCGCAGAGCAGACGTTTGTGCTGGGAGCTAAGGTGTCTTATCCCGTATCTGGGCACCTGTGTTCCAGTCTTGACTCTGGCTCCTGACTCCAGCTTCCTTCTAACACACACCCTAGAGGGCTCACTTAGTGGCTCAAGTAATTGACTCCTGCCATCTATGTGGGAGACATGAATTTTACTCCCAGCTCCTGACTCTTGATGATAAGAGACATTGTCAAATGATTAGCCATATGGAGCACTGATTTCCCACCCCCAGTCTATTTATCTGCTTACTTGAAAGAGTGAGAGAGAGGAGAGATCTTCCATTCGCTGGTCTGCTCCCCCATAAAGGCCTGCAATACCCCAAAACTGGAAGCTTGCTCCCCCATAAAGGCCTGCAATACCCCAAAACTGGAAGCTGGGTCAGAACCTTGGAGTAACCAGGACTGGAAACCTAGCACAGGATACAGACACCCCAAAACTGCAGTTTAGTTCACTGAGCTAGCCTGATTAAAAAACAAAGTATCCTTATTTGAAGAGGCATGCCAAATACCTTTAATCTGACAGATCTTTGCATTACTTGTGTCAACTTGTATTACCCAATTTAACAATGTTACACCTAAGACAAAAGATGATTGAGTGGAACTAAACATTCCTTGCTAGTACAAGGTATCTTCTGGCCTCAAGGAGTGATCTTTTTCCATCACTCTGGGGTCTCTGGTGTCACCCTGGATGAAAAGAGCTGGCCAGGAAGTGGGCTCTGTTCTTTGTGGAGGAGTCCCGTCACACCCAGCAGAGGCCTGAGCTCCTTATCTGGCGCTGCTCTTGTTTCCGGCCAAACTGAAAGCCAGCAGAAACTGAGAGTGCCTCACTGCCCTCTTGACCCGCATGATCTCTCTGACCAAGGTCCTGATAAAAACTTGGCACAACAAAGTGCCAGGATGCACTGCTCATGCAGTAAGTTCAACCTTCTAGAATCTGAAGACAATTTTTTAAAGAATATGCCATGAGTCAGTGAAGCCCTAATGGGTATTTCAAAACCTTTGTGGGACATATGTGTTAAGGGAAAACTACATATGCATTTTCAATGTTTGCACCAAAATAAACTTGTTATTATTTTTTAATTTGTAATTTATGAAAGAGATCTTCTGCCTGTTGGTTCACTTCCCAAACACATACAAGAATGACAGCTAGGTTAGGCCACATCCAGAAGCCAAGAACTCCATCCAGGTTCTCCCATCTGGGTGGCAGAAATCAACTGCTAGAGCCTGCTGCCACCTGGGGTCCCATTAGCAGGAAGCTGGACTATGGAGCAGAGCCAGATCTCCAACTCAGACACTCCAACATGAAAGTGCAGGCATGCTCACTGCTGCACCAAAAACACACCCCAAACCTGTACATAATTCCACTTGTTCACAAACTTTTAAGAACACTGTTAGATGTCACGCTGAGCGTGGAGCCTGGCATGCAGTAAGGCCCATCAAGTGACAGCTGTCAGTGCTGCCTCTGCTTTGCTAAAACTGGGCTGAGCGTGACATTGTTTCAGAAGTGCTTTATTGAACTGGTAGATGAAGGGATTGAATTTTTAAGAATTCTACAACTTACCTCACTTGCTATACTAGGGAAAAATGGAGCTTAGAACTAGGTATGGAGCTTAACCTAGCCAAGTCTGAACCCATGTTGGTTCTCACATTTTCTAGTGGGTGCTGAGGACTAGCCCAGCCTGGTCTACCGCTAGACTGGGCCCACACTTACGCCAATGGATACCGTAGCCTGGCCTTGCCAGGGCTGCCCCCAGTCTAACAGGGGAGTTCTCCATGTTTCCCCACCAGGTCCACTCCCCGATCCAGATTTCACATGTGCCAGCAGGTACCAGCCTCCTGCCCAGAATAATCTGCCTCCAGGTCTGGTCATTTGTGAAGTACATGAGCAGGTTGAATTAAGAAACTCTGAGAAGTCCCATATGTGTTTTCCGGTTATGTGTGTCTTAGAATGTGTTGACTAATGAGAGATCACAAAAGATAAGACTGCCTTTTGAGATGACAGTCTCAGGCAGCTGAGCCTGGGTCCTGCAGGGCGGGGGTCCATGTTGGGGCGTGTAGTGCTCGTGCTGGGTGATGGCAAAGCCAACTCCATTGACACCACAGTCACTCACGCGTGAGCAGCCTACCGCTGAGAGTTTAAGTGGCTCTTGTGATTAATGATACACAGACACATGTTGTTAGAAAACCAGACTCCATGGACGTGAATGCTTAAAACCAGGCTCAAGGAGGCATTAGAACAAAAGGACTAATTATAGGTCAACGTATATTCACTTTGAAAACAACAGCACGATTAGGAGGACGATACTGCAAGAAGCGTAAATAGAGTGAAAGATCGAAAACTTAGAAATAAGGAGGGAAACGAAGCATGTCATAAATAAGGGGTTGTTTGATAAGATTTGGAAGGATAGTGGAGAATCTGGGTAGATACTACTTCTTCATGGTCTGCAGATACTGATTTTAGAAGTGGGTAAGCAGGATATTAAGGAAAAAGCAGTGGGGTGCTGCTGAGATGTTGTCATATATAAAGCTAGGCAGTGCTTGTGCTAATCAGTGCTAGGCTCACCGGGTGCCTCCAGGTCTGGAGCCTGTCTGTCTTCACATGTCTCATCTATCTGAGATAGGAGAGAGGGCCCATGTCTGTGTCTGCTACTGCACTATCACTGGTACAACAGAATATAGACAGGAGGTCTACATGAAAAAAAAAATGGAATTAAAAGATGTTTATATTATATCCATGCAGAGTTTTTTTTTTTTTAAAGAACTCGTATTGTGAAGCCTCGTCCTATGCCTTATTGCTCTGATCCAGTTTTGAAAATATTGGC